ACCGTACAAGCAGCTATGTGCAGTTAGAACTATGCATTCCTAGGAAGGGTGCTTAAGTGTGGGCTTACCTGCTGGTGTTGGTGCTTACTTGGCTTTCCTTTGGCAGTTATGGACAAGAATACCGCTGAAGGACAGACAGCCGCAGAGGTTGCTCAGGTGGTTCTCAACGCAGTGGGACAGAAGAAGAAGGAAGTACTTGTGGCCGGCCTAACACCCTCCCTGGCTGTCTACCTGCGAAACCTCTTCCCCAGGCTCTTCTTCACCTTAATGGCAACTAGAGCAAAAAAGGAGAGAAAAGCAAAGGACTCTTAGAGCTCAGCTCATTTGAGCAGTAACTGTAGGGAGAGGCCAACCCCCTGCAGTTTGGCTGGGACATCAGCAGAGGTGCTCCTGCAGGAAAAACCTTTCTCAAAATGCTGCAATTTACCATTGCATGGAGAGTGGGAAGCAGTTTCCCCCACCTTGGGGCAGGCCCGCTTGCTGGAAGACAGCACCTAAACCTCACCTGAAGAAGGGTGCTTGGACAAAGGGGAGAGCTGAGGCTGCAGGAGAGGGTAACTCAAGGGAACACACTTTGCAGTAGGGGAGGCCCATGTGCGGGAAGACTGCACCTCACCTCACTCCAGGCAGGCTCAGCTTTACTGGCCCACTACAAATAAAACCCCTGGTTTGCCTTCACACGAGCAGCTCTTAGCTTTCCCCACCCCGTGGCCTCTGTGAAATCATCCTCAGCTGGGAGTCCTCCTTATCAGCATCTCCTTCCCACCCGTTCCAATCTTATCTAGAACACGTTACTTGAAGTGGAAAACTTCACAGAGCCTCTGCTTGTTAACATGCCAAATCATATTAAGTCCACTGCCACTTTTAAAGAAGTGACTGATGTAAAACATAAGTTTTATTTGGCAATTGTTTTACCTGTCTGAATAATGCCTTACTGATGTACATTTAACTCTGTGCTACCTGACAGTACAGTATTAACCCCAGCACCAGTTAACACAGGGGAAGCACTGAACAGATAAAAAATAGCACAGCAAGGTGTACTGTTGCGTGTAAATAGTGTGCAGCTAATGGCAGCACACCTGGTCCACCTGCAGGCCTAGAGCACAGAGCAGGTGTGATTCTTCAGAAGCCAGGCACTGCCTTCTGGCAAAGCAGAGGAGAGTCTGTGTGCATACGGTGGACAGCATAGGAGACAGAACCTTAGTTCTCATCTGTTTTAAAGCAATCACAGATGCTAATTAGGATCCAGAGGAGGAACGATACCCGCCTGTTCAGATATCACCGGCTCCAGGGAGTCTGACAGCCTGAGGGAGTGCCATATTGCATTCCTCACCCCTTCTCCTCATGTGAGGGATACCTGCACCACTAGGAAAAAAGAATCGCTGCACAGAGATAGTTCAGTAAGGACAGAAATAATCTTTTTTAACTTACAATTGAAATAGAGCCTACTAGTGAGAACCAAGGTCCAGACCCCTGCTGCCGCCTCCATGCACTTACCAGCATTTTCCACATGCACTGCGTTGTACGTCCTGCCTGTGAGTGCACATCTGATGACAAATAAATTAAACTGCTCTGAAATTAATCCTTTGTTCTACTTCAGCTTGCAGGTAACATTACAGGAAGGGAAAGCAGGAAGGTTTGGGTTTTCTTTTCTTACATTCCCGCAAGGTGCTATTGTACCAATAGTAGTTGCAGAACAACATACTTTATCCCAGCCCTCTTTACATCTTCTGCTAGTTTACAGGGACATAGTGTGAATCCTCACAGAGGATTAGTCACACTAAAACTATGATTACAGCTGTGCAGGCTCAGCAGGACCTTCTCCTTCAAAAAGCCTTTTCTTGACCACTACAGATTTATAAATGATCTCTAAGAATCCATCCCAGATGGTGACCAGTACGCGTTTAATGATGAGAATGCTGCCTCTCAGTTTGGACATCCTCTACCATTTTCACTGTGGCTGGGGTTGCAGGTTTTTTACATAATAACTAAGGTTGAAATTGCAGGTTGAAGCTTTCAGGTGTATGTATCTTTTTCCTGTTAAGATAGGAAACCAAGGCATTACCTCTGCTCCCCCTCCACAAGAGTTTCTGTAAATGTTAGTTGTGCTTTTCCTTTCATGTTTTGCACGTTCAGGTCTTCCATTTCTTGGCAAAATACAGTGCTCCAGCCAGTCTTGTCCAGCTGCCCCATCTTCTGGTGTTTCAGTCATGGCGACCCCGGAAGGGCCGAGGTTCCACTTTGCATTTCTGTGTCATCATCCAGGGTGCTGAGGGGTGTAACACATCAGGCCTGAGGGAAAAAATTATGTGTGAGAGTTACTGCAGCTACCGTTTGAAATACTGCTCCAAGTCAGAGGTTACCCAGAGCGAGCACATTGCCCTTTGAAAGCAAATTCCCTCTCTGTGACGGGAGGAACATAGCACGCTCCATTTCAGAGCGCCTCCGTAATGGTCAGCAAAGCGTGTGGGGCTTTTGAAAGGAGGTTTGTCCCTAGCCACTGTAACCCACCGCTACTGGGGGGGCGGAGGGCAGAGACTGACCCCAAAGCCCCACATACAGCAACCATCACGTGTGATACAGTCAAACACAGGACCGTTGAGACTCGCTCTCATTCTCCCAGGTCATTTTGCATCATTACAGCACTGACTTAATAGCCAGGATGTCACTAAGCATTTTAGCTAATCATCACTAATATTTATTGTAAAACCTATGTCCTCTCCACCTCAGAATGGAGCAAAGGGTGCGTTTTAAAAACAGACCTACCTGTTGTAACCTCTAAGCTGATTTTTCACCTTTTTTCCTGCAATGAGAGAACACAGGAAACTTGCTCATTTTAAACTCAAGTCTTTGATGCAAGCCATGCATTTAGGGAGCCTACACAGTGTTAGTCCTGCCATAGTGATCATTCCAGACAAGGGAAAGCTTAACACAAAGTGCCCAGGACCACAGAGGTTTGGTGAAAAGGAAGTAATAGCCCTGAGAATTATTCTGCATTGATTATCAAAGTTTTGCAGGAATGTCTTCTGTGTGGCTAGCACAAGGATATTTCAGGATGTTCTGCAGCAATGAAGTACTTATTGGCTACAGCAGATCTGTCACTAGTTTAAAATCCAACCAGTAGACGGGACTTTAGGAACAAACGTCAGGACTGGAAGGCCAGCCTGCCCAGCAGTCCTGGCCTAACCGCAGCATGATGAAGTAGCTGCATTTCTTCCCCTCCTCTCTGCCAAGGCAACTGTACATTGTTGCTATAAATAGAGACGCTCTGGATCCCAGCTTCTTTTAACCTTGGAGGGAGAGGACTCAGCCACTGTACCAGCAAAGAGCTGTTGCAACCTAGAAATGTCTCGATGCCACTGGAGTTTCCTCCAGCCCACGTGTCTGCTCAGGTACGGCCACCTGCGCGGATGGTAAACACACGTGCTCAGAACTCCCAGCAAAGCCCGTTCGCCCAGCACGCACGCAAGTGGGATGCGTGCCCTGCTAACACAAAAGCTGCATCAGCAGAAATGCATTGGAACCGTGTCCAGAAAAGCCTGCTGCAGTCTGGACGCAAGGAGGAGTTCTTGATGCCTGCTGTTGCAATTTGGAAAGATAAAGATAGAACTACTGAATCTGGTTTCTGACCTCATGAGACTCCCTTCCAAGGTCAGTGCTTCAGCTGTGGAGGTCAGACTGCAGCTACCACTGAAGCAAGCAGTACACCTGTATGCAGGCAGTTTTATTACAGGGCTTTGCTCTTGTAGTCAGATCGTAACACCTGAAGCTGTGCCAAGCCACACCTATTTTCCATCTGGTAGGAGGAGATTAAAGAAAGCAAGCCCCTCTCTTTTACAAGTAACTGGCAGATCTTGCAAAACAGAAAATACTTCCAAGAACGAGAGTTTGACAATTTTGAGCTAAAAGATGAATTAATGCACAAGACTGAATTCTAAAATTCCAGAGAACACAGTTACAAGACACAGTCACGTGGATACCTTGCAGCAGTAGCAGGCAGCTCCAGAAGTGTGTGTTCTGAGCAAGAGCAGTGGAACTGCGCAGTCAGGGCGCAGCTGTCCGACTGTCAGCAGTGGTAACAAAGCACAAAGACAGCTGGACTCCCACCTCGGCAGTCCACAGCCGCACATGGTACAACGCGTTTCATGGAGATGTATCTACGTAAGGAAGAACTCGTACAGGAACTGAGCAGAATGTGTTTGTAGCTGGAAACATACAGTATTATATCCATTGTTCAGAGAAGTACTAGTTGGAGGTGGCAGGGCAGCAGAGCGCTGGGACACCTTTAGCCCCAGCCATCAATGTTTAAGCAATTACCAAAAAGATGTAAAGACTGGGGTAACCAGTAAGCCCTCTTCCAAGCAAGAAAACTAGTCAAGCAAGAGGGAAAGCAACACTCCACAGCTATTCCTTCAACAGAACTTCAACTGCTGTGAGCTAACACGGATGCTGCTGCCATGTGCAATGGGCAAGAGGACTATCAGGTCTGTGTGTGAGCATGCATAAAAAATTACCACTGCTGGAGTTCTCATAGCAAAACCTCCATCCCCTGGGAGCACGCTATAAAAGGGCACTATGATAACAGTAACAAGAAAGCAAAAGCATTTGAAATTCTCATCCTTTAATGGTCAATGATAACTTCTGGCTGGTTCTGTGTAATACAATTAAACAATATACTTAAATGTTTCAAAAAAAAGAAAAAAAAAAGAAAGAAGCTCTCACACCCCCTCTTTCTATAGCTTTCTTTCATCGACATTCCGCTGCTGGATTGGACTCCCACAGCCTAACATACAGCTCTCAAGTCACCACACATCCACATCTTAAGTGTAACGAAGAACTGAAAAACCTTGGTGCACCAGTGATGTGTTATTTTAAAAATAACAGCTCTATTAAACCAAATCCTTCCCAGTCTCCACTGCTTCTCAAAGAGGAAAAACAAAATGTTACTGTGGGAGTCTTAATACACTTGTCTTTGTGGGTTTCTCTCTTCCCTGCTGAAGTCATACAGCATAGAGTTCATAGATCTTCTTTACACAGTACACCAGGGCAGCGAGTGCTATCGTGTTATGCAGTCTCTTTCTGTGCAGGTCGTCCTTCCTCACCAGCACCACCGGAGTGGAGGAGGTGAGCGTATGCAGGGGCAGGCGGGAAAGTTTATAGGCATCGTACTCTACTTGGTACTTGCAACAGGGATCAAATTGCCAAGAGATACCATAAAGGGTGCAGCAAGCCACGCTCAGCACACCAGCAGGCAGGGAGATGTAGTGAGAATAATCTACTGGAAGTGCCAGAGGGGTGAAGAGACAGGTGGTGCCCGCTAACACGGCGGTCTTGTGCAGGCAGTTCCCGACAGTGATCCAGCGGGCCGTCTCATCCCCAATGCGAGTGGGCTCTATCACTATGTATTTGTACTGCGCTTCCAGGGCCTGCTCCAGCTCATACTCAAACTGGTCCTGAGCATTCTCTCCATTGTAGATCTCATGGACGATGTAACATTCCGTGGAGGACAAGGTGACCCTGTTAACAGGAAACACAGAATTAAAACTACAGAGCTTAAAGACAGACTTTTCACCTACCCAGCTGTGAGAACAGGAGGGAAAAATGCCCAAAGTGAGGGCAGCCCCTCAGTCTGTCACTGCCTCCGTTCAACAAGCAGCAGCTTTTTCAACTCAAGATTCATTTCACATCAGCCAATTATGCATGTGGTACATGAAGTCATGCCAAAATGAGGCAACTTATTTTTCCTTACCTTTTCCTAACTTGGAGGAACTAGAACATTTTGAGAAAATAGGATCTTGTTAACAATCCTGAAATGATTCCTCACACTGATTCCTAAACAGTTTCTCCAGAGATACTGGAAATACCACACCTCAGCAATAAATGAATGAACCGCACAGACTTAAGGAGGTTTCATAGAAAAGACAGCTAGCAACTCATCCATCAAGAGGGAAAGTTGCACTGAAGATTTTGAGAGGAAGCACCTTCAGATGAAGGTGTTTGCTTTCTCCCCACAGTAACTACCTCTTTGCCACTCATGCAGCTTGCTATTTAGTCCTCCATAGTAAATTCAACCTAGTAAATCCAGAGTAAATCCAACATGGATGGCCAACACTGCTGGAAGAGAAGGTGAAAGAGGTAGCAGAGCATTCTTACAGAACAATTCACTCCCTCTGCTGAAATAGGGCACAGCAAAGCAAGGAAAGAACATTTTTTAACCCAGGCAGGCTTTAACAGTGAAAAGCTGCTTGCTTTGCCTTGGAGCAGGTTCCCTACTGACAGGGGATTCACAAGACTTGTACATCCCCCATTTAAGTAGCAGCTTTTAGCTACCTAAAAAATCTAAAATCACATCGATTTCCACCTTCCTTACACACATCACCTTAGATGCAGCTACATTAACATAACAGACTGCTAAGAGATAGGATTATGACTGTTAACCTGTGCTGACAAGGAGTAAAAACCCATCCACTAGAACAAGGCAAAATCCTCCCTTCTAAGCAGAAGAAATAACTATTTCTGACACACTTGTGCTTAACCAGAACAAAACTGAGCACGTGGCCTCTCAAGGATAAAAATATCTAGCAGATTCCTTTAGCAGAAGGAGAACAAATGGCACACATATTTGACCTAATCACAGCAGACAAAACAACCTCATCCCAACAGCATTTAGATCCTCCCAATATTGGGAGGCAAGACACTGCTGAAATGGAGAATGAAACTAGCATTTCCACACAATGGTACTTGTGTGCATACACTGGAAAATAAAGAGAGAAAAATACACATTTGCAAACTGCTGCATTACCAGACGTTACCCTTAATGTGCAGCTCCATTCATGCTGCAAAGGGTATCGTACAGTGGCCATCTGTAATCAAGAATATTGTTACATTACAAGCTGTTGCCAGAAGTAGCTGCTTTTGTGAACAGCAGCTAACATATCAAACACCAGGACCCAAGATGCACCAGCCTCTCTCAAACCTGAGTAATAAGCAGTTTCATTAAAAGTCTGGCTGGAATTTATATAAACTACAAGGAAAATTCAGCTTACAAGCTAGTTTTTGAGTTCTCTGCAGTGCATTTCCCCCTGGCCTGTTCAGGGGTAGAAAGAAAAATAAAAATCCATCTGGATGCTGTGTATGCCAGGGGCTGCTTCTTTGAGGCCATCATCTTGTCAGACATTGTTTGGAAAAATATGATTAAGTCTTTCAGTTAAAAATTTAACTGAGTACTACATCTTTAATATAGTTGTATCAGCTAACATTCGAGTTCTTAACAAACAACTAGTTAACCAGGTGTTGCACCGATAGGTTAAGGACACAGCTGATAATGGTTTCTGCCAAGGATTATTTCCTTGATGACAACTGTTTCAAGTACAGCTTCTTCCAAATCAGAAATTCCCATTTCACTATAGAAGATGTGCTGAGATTTAAGGTAACTCTGTAAAACACCACTGATAGACTATGTGAGACCACTTGCTAAGGCGTAACAACTTCAGGGAAAAGCTATTGCTCAAAGGCGTTTTCAAGCTGGAGGCTGACCCCGTGCTAACGCAACCCTCCAGATAAAATTAGTGTTTCCTACCAAGGAGCATTTCCAGCATTCTGTAACACCTAGGAACATGCTGCATGGGTCTGAAAAACAGACCAGCAGAACCCAAATTCAACTAAGAACTCCACAGAGGCTTAGGAACAGCACAATAGCCTAGTCACTCTAGGATCTCCCTGCCATCACTGGGAAAACACAGGTGAAGCAAGCTGATTTCTTCCCTGCCTGTATGAGAGCCACAGGGAACTGGGCTTCTAACTCTAGGAATTAAATCAAGTAACTACATTACACGGGATTCTCCAGGCCTAGCATCAGGACAGGTTGCATTAACCCATCAGCCTCATTTCTCCTCACTCAGATCTTGCCTGTTCTTCCCTCTGAATATCCCTTCTTTCCTTTCACCATCACGTACACAAATTGAGCCATACCACAAGCAACAGCCACCTGTCAAAGACAACAGGAATCCCACAGGCTCTGATGCAGTGCTGTCCATCTCTTCTGGAATCTTTTGGCTTACCAGGCTCTGGGCCTTTATAACAATAAAGTCAAGAAAAGCACAATCCTCCTAAGCCAAAACAAGCAGAACTTAAAATATGTTCTGTTGAAAAAAAAAATCACTGGGAAATAAACTGCACAAAGGCTTCATCCCTGATAGGGTCTGGCCCCCTAACTGTGCTGTTTCTCCAAATTAGTCCTCTAATATGGGAATAAATCTGTATCACAGTGCAGAAGCTGCAAATGGCAAAACGGGCAATCCAAAAAACAAAGGACAAAGAATGAAAAATTAGCTGCTCAAACAATAGGACACATGAGAAGTTAGTCTCCACTTCTGTAACAGAGGAAGTGGGGTTTATCACATATTATTTCCACACAAGAACTGGCTGCCCCTGGAGAATGGAAAGCTGAAGACTGGTTTGTTTTCAGACAATGTAGAGATACAGATGAGATATGTGGGCTTGAGAAGGTTTTAGACCTTGTTGGCATGCAAAGTAGGACCGAGGACCTTGATCCACAGAGGCAATCTCTCCTGACACAGCCTTTCAATTGAATGCAGCAGTTGCACATGAACAAATCCAGTCAAAGCAACTGGATCTGCTCAGACGCTGGAGGCTATGGAGTTTGCCTTTTGGAGCTTGTCCCCCACCCCCCAGCGATGACAAACAAAAATGCAGAGCTATGCAATCAACTCCAAGCTGGCATCCACCGATTATGAAGTGTGGTGATTTTATATAAACTCCATTTTACTTAAAAAAAAAAAAGTAAATAACCAGTGTTGGAGAGGATCTGTTCCAGAAGCCATAAAATGCCACCACACGTTCAGAAGCCCAGCATACTATTTACTACACAGACATGAACCTAAAAGCAGTTGTATTATTCAATCAAATGCTTTTCCAGAACCTGCCTCTCCACCCCAACAAAAGAGGGCTACATTAAAAAGTTGTACAGCTGTTCTATAGGAATAGTTCTGGACCTTATATCCAAATAGTTTATTCTATTGCAGCTTCACACATTCTATTCTTGAGAAATTTCAGATGTCTCATTCCTGATGCCAACTGCATGCATAGATGGGAGGATGTGACAGAACTCAAGTATTCAGCATAGAAAGATGAAAATAATTTAAAATCACCAATGTAAAATTTTGGTATTGCCAAAGTTATAAATAAGGAATCAGTCGTTAACAGAGCTACCACCAGCAGGAGGGGCAGAAGTGTCTGTCTTAGCTATAGGGCAAGCTTCAAATTACATTTGGACTATCTTCCTAACATGGGAATATCAGAGAGCACCAGGAGAGGGGTGCTGCAGCTGGCTAAACAATAGCAACTCCAGCAGTTTCCCAGTTGCAGTCCTCAAAGCAGCTCCATTTTTCTCTGCCTCCAGCTTGGAAGCAGTCTCCTAGCTGCCTCTTGAAAACAGCAGCCTGTCTGTTAAATTTAAGTTTCGACTGGATAGTCTTTATGGATGAAGAAATAAATACCTTTCTAAGGAGGAGGTACAATGCCACTCAATGTAAAAAGACCCAAGTTTTGCCAGGTGCCAACTGGCAAGAAGAGAAACAAATGAACAGAGTCCTGAAAACAGGGCAGATGACAACATCCCAGAAGAAACCCCAAATCCTGCTACCACTGTCCACTTGCCGGGGAGAATGTCTGAGTCTCACGAGCGTGCTGCCCTCAGCCTGAAGGTGTTCCTCCATCTGCCAGACAGATTTTTGGCAAGGGTTTCAAGTCATCCAACTATCTCAGGTCTGCAAAATGTTCAGAATCACAATTAGAAACAATCTCAATCTGCACAAAGCACAGGTACAGTTCTGGGCAAAAAAAGTTCTTGTAAAACCCTTCCCATAACACATAGGTCAAGTTTGTTTATTTTTTTAAAGAACAACATTCCTGGACAACAGTCTTGCTCAGAGCACCAAACATACATCGGATTAACTGTAAATGAAGACCAGCCTGATTAGCAGTTAAAAAAAAATAAGAAAACAGAGGCTTGCAGCAGTGTGATAACGCCTGTCACAAGCAGCGCGCACACACACAATCTAGTTTAGCAATGCAACAGAGGGAATGCATGCTGGCTGTGCAAGTGAACTGCAGAAAAAGACATTACTGATGGCCAAAGCAGTGTCTGGGGTGATTAGTAGCATCTCAGCTAAGCTTGAGTAAGTCAAAGTCAAGGCATGACTAATTAAAAAACCCTAAATTTCTCTCCCCCCACATAAACCCTTCTTGAAATTTAATTTAATTTCAAGATTAAGGAATGAGCTGTGGTCTGGCTTTAACTGTCAGTGGAAACACTCCACCTCAAAGTCATATTCAACAGTGTATTTTTTCCACCCAGGAGAGCTCCAGGATATGGAGTACATAAAATGCTAACACAGCTGAGCTTAAAGCCCTGAAAAATTGTTTCTCTGCTGAACGTCTGCACGATCTACCAGTCTCAGGCCATTAGCCACGGCTGTCAGGCCTACAGCTTTAAG